ACGGTAAGATAACTACATGATTTCATGGGTGTCAGGGATGCTTGGGTATTCAGGACTTCACGCAAAAAGGGAGAGTGTAAAACTTTCTTGTTTTAATGTGTAGGTGACTGCCAATCTGATATCTTTGTCACCCAGTAAAAGATCTGGACCGGCGTGATATTAACGTTAAAACTACGGAGTCATACGTAAGTGCTGACACTCCTAATAATTGCCAAATCTGAAAAGTATTTAGCGGTATATAATATAATATTTAATAACTTAAACAAAAGTTGTAATACATACCACGGACCTTCATTTAAATGTGTGCTATCGACATTAAACTATTGCATCCTCCTTATATTGTTTCTATATGAAATATTTTCTTTAGTTTTCTTTATGATAAATTTATCCAATAACACAACAATTCTTTTGAACGAGGTGCCTATAGCTCCCTGTAAATCAAAAGCAATACTTCTGGATTGCTCTCTTAGGAGACATCGCTTTTTGCTCGTAAGCGAGTAATAACGGAGTAAAAAACCGACAAATCTCAGTTATAGCTCCGAAATCATTCCTCAGCGAGTATTCTCTTATTGCTCACTTGGGAGGTCTCCCGTTTGGCTCCTAAACGGGTAATAAATGAATACAAAGTCGACAAAAATCGTTTATTGCTCCAAAATCATGCCTCTGGGAGTATTCGTTTGTTGCTCGCTTAGGAGATCCCCTATTTGACTCCTAAGCGAGTTATAATGGAGTTAAAAACCGACAAATCTCTCCTATTGCTCCGAAATTAGGACAAATGGAGTACTCTTTTATCCCTCACATTGGTAAAACACTTTTTCTGGTCACATTGGCCGACTTGCAAATGTACAACCTCGAGAGTATGTAAAGCTGCCTTTACACGGGGGATATCTGTCGACTGGAAAATTGACTGAGAAATCGACCGGCCAAACACTTAAATTTTACTGTTGAATTGCCATTTACATGGGTCGATTTTGGTTGAACGACAAAAATCGACTAGAAGATTGAACCGTGTAAAGGCAGGTTAAGGTATATTGTCACACACATAAGTATATGCTTATATACATATTTGTGAATTTATAGCCTTTATTTAAATTATCATTCCCATCTTTTTTGTTTACCTGTCTCATTTTAAGTATAAAATCCCACAAATGCTGTGATACGTAGTTACCTTGATCAAATGAAATGGTAGGCAAAAAGACATTTTGGTAAGTTTTTGAATGAGCTCTTGGTTGGAGAGAAAATTTTTCAGTGGAAACCCTGTTTTTTTCTTCATTTCAACACTTGAGTGATTGATAACGTTCAGAAGGCGCCACAGCTCGGTAACTGTTGCGATTGCGTAATATGTTGTGTGTACCTTCGACAGTTGAGTTTGACAGCTAGTGTATTAGGCGTCCAGAAACCGCATAACATCGCTTACTAATCACTGATTTGTTAACACTCATGTGATCGGGTACGCTGACCATACGTAAGTGGTCGGCATAGGTACAAATGTACCTATATAGGATTTATATGAAAAAAAGTTCTTCATGTACAACTCTGTACTTTTTGTGTGTTGGTGAGAGCATCGTATGATTGCTCGGTGAGTACTCCCTGGGGAGTATACGAATACTCCCTATTGCTCCCTATGTTTCTGTGTATAAGCATGTAATTTTGTATACTCTCTTTAACACGGGGTGTCCTAGGAGGGCGAGTAATCCCTTTTACCTCCTCAATGAGCAATCATGGAGTTCATACAGAAATATCATCTCAAAGACCTCCTAAGTGAGCAATACATGAGATATCTCAGAATAACCTCTTAGAAACATCCCAAAAAGACAATAAGGGAGTGCACATAGGAAAATACCACATATTCCTCCCAAACGAGCAATAAAGGAGTATTCCCAACGAAGTAATCTCGCAAACCTCCTAAGCGAGGTATAGAACAGCTTTCCTATTCTCCCACATTCCTCCTAATGGAGTAATAGAAGATTACTCCAATATTTCTCCATAGGGAGCATTTCTTTTTAGCTAAAAAACATGACATATTAGATGTCTTATCACATGTACATATGAATTTATTACATTAATGATAACTATTAGAATTATACAAGAAATAAATTATTTTAAAATGGAACATAATAAAACTAAAACGATAATATGTATACATATACTACATCCATTCATACATATGTACATTAGACCGTTCGTTAAAAATAAAATTTGGTTTGCCGGGCGG